AACTCGCGTCCATACCATCGCGCACAAACAAGCACGCGCACATGGCATCGATGCCTACCTTTTCCGATGATCTGGCAGACGCGGTTGCGGATGACGTCCATGGTGACGTCGCTACGCTCCGACGCGCGGAAGTAGAACTGGCAGTGCACGTGCTTCCGGAAGGCGGTGGCAACGGATCCCTTTCGCCCGAGAACAGGCGTTTTTTGTGAACGGAGCGGTGGTGGGGAGGGGGGGGGATTCAGTCATTCTTTGTGCTTGGACGCCGGTGGCGTATCGCATATCCTCACAGTGCCGGGATGGGGAGCTGGAACAGCTTTCCCCGCCTAGTAAGGGGGGGCAGTGGTTTTGGTATTTGCTCTCTCTTGGCACTGCTGTCTTAAACGCCACGGACTATGCAGCTGGAAGGCCTAGTCTGTTGGCTGTGGTGTAGATGATTGTGACTAGGCAGTTTGCGTGGTCCGCTTGTGTCCACCGTGGGAAGCTTGGATATGCTTCGGAAACCTGACACATACTTCACCCCTTTTCAACTGGCGGTGGAGTCACTGGTCGGCAAGCACGGTCGGTGCTAATACAAAATAGAAAGGAACACCCTCATCGATTGAACCTTCCTCTGCATTGCGTTCTTACAGTACCTGATGGGTGCTGACTCTGGCCTTTACGAAGGCGGGGATGTTCTCCGGTATCCAAGAGATGAAGCAGTAGGCCTCGTGGAAAACACCGTCAAACTTCTCCGACACCTGGCGCGTTCACGTTGCATGACACAGCGCGACCGCGGCGGTGATAGTGTTGGGTGTCTGTGTGTGACGTTGTTGTGGACATTGCTGCGGCCGTTGTCGTAGCACCGTTTAGGGACATGAAGGACCGGCCGGCATGAGCTACTGTACCACTAAGGCGCCATCCCACACCAACAGTAGGACGGGGCGGAGGAGGATCAAACCACTCAAGACAACGATCGCCGTGGAGACCAAACAGATGCCTCACAAACACGCCCCCGGGAGCCGGTAACAAGGGGCGGTCGCAGCAACCGAGTGTTTTTTTGCACAGAGGTAGACACGACAACAACAAAAACAGAGGTAGACACGGCACTCCTGTCGTCTCAACCCGGCTGTGTTGTGGGCGTCATTCCCCCGCGAACGAAGGCGAGAGACAAGGGTGTGAGCCTGACCCGGCGCCCCTCTCCCGCTTCCCTTGTGAGGGCGACAAAGCCCACAACCGTTTGAACAGGGGCCGTGTAAACCAACCTGGGTCCCGAAACCCAGATTCCCATCCCGAAGACCCCAAACCCAGAAGCGCACCCCAGCTTCAGACAAGACACCCTGCTCGTGCGAAAGCCCAAGGCCAGCTCCTCTCCCCTTCCCTTCCTTTTTCGCGATAAAATCTCTCCCAGGGGAGACCATCCCCATGTGTCGCACGGCTCGACCCGTGTAGAGAAGATAATTGGTCGGTCCTCTCGAGGGACGAGTGGTCAATGGTCTCACCGCTAAGGAAGGCATGCAATACATGGGTACGCCCCCAACCACCACCGTGACAAACACGAGGCCCTTGCCCCCCCCCTTGTCCTTCTCCCTGTGTTTCGTCGCCGGCGCTTACCCGGAGAAGGCCGTAGTTGACGCCGGACGGCTCTGCCGCGTCGAGGAGGCACTGGAGGCCCCCCTTCCCAGTGCCGACCATGCGGAGCACGGTCTCGTTCTTGTAGCCCAGGAGGCACCAGTCCGCGAAGCTCATGTCGGAGCGCACGTCCTTGACGGCCCTGCCGAAGGCCTTCGGCTCCTCGAACTCCACGTTGGCGCTCGCTGCCACCTACCATGCGTACGGTAAGTAGGTAGTCAATCCTTGTCTTTCGTGTCTTGATTTGGTGGCGCATGTGTGGCAGTACGTGTGCAACTATAGGATGTATTGCTTGCGGTAGTCTTCCTTTTTGCGTTGCGCTGGAAGGCTAATGCTGCGGTAGCAGTAGGTGCGTTGAGAGAAAACGTGAGTCGCCAGTGCCCGACGGGCGCATGATTTTTTTTCCTGGTGCTTGTACGGCTGCCGCACCTTCTTTTGCTCGTCAGCAGTCGCCAAGTGGGCGAAGGGCATCGAGGGGAGGGCGCTGCGGGCCAGCTTCCAGGCTGCGCGCCCCCTGGCTAACAACGACGGAGAAGAGGGGGGCCTCTCCAGCTTCCGCGTTTTCGTCCTGTCCGCCCTGCGGCGTCGGTGACATCAGCGACATCAGCAGCGGCGTCAACGACACGTTAGCCAATTTTAACGAAATCAGCGGCGTCGATGAGATCAGCAACACGTCGGCGACATCAGTGGCGAACAAGGAAGGCAGCAATACAATGGCAAGGAACAAGCAGGAGTGGCAAGCTTACGCCAGCCCGATAAACTGTGCCAGACCGTAGCGCGGACCAGCGACGCTTTCGGGGGGGATTTCATATATCTCGCCCCCGCATCGGGACAAACCGAAACATCACGAAGCGGGTGGGTTTGGCCTGTCACACAACAGTATTGACCATCAATCACACCCCCGACCGGGGGCGGGGGGGTGCGCTGTGCGGCTGTACATTGTTTCTGAGGAATGGAGTGAGGTGGATATTCGAGATTTCTTCGACATGCAAAACGTCATTCCTAGAGTTGCTTCTACGTTGTTGCGTGCGGTATCTGTGCACCCCTGCCTGATTCTCTTTTTTTTTCCTGCACGTGGCACCCCCATTGTTCTGGTGTTTGATTTTCAGTGTCGAAATTTCTTGAGCTGCTTCCATTCATTTTTCGCGGAACTTTACAGCGGTGGAAGCGTTCGTTCTGCATAGCAACAATTGTTCCGCACCGGTGTGTCGATCGACGTTGGAAGAAAGAACAGGATACCCGGTGGGCACGGAACACGTAGCATGATACCGATGCCGTGCAACTGGACACAGGGGTACATGGGTTTCTCTACCAGAAGTGTTTCCATCCGGGATCTATACTACTGCCGTCAGAGCATGAATTTCTGGTACTCCTCTGATTGGTTTCGTTCCTGGGCTGCGGTGTCGATCAGTGCAGAAGAATGACGCGAAATACTGCTGCTCCGGGTGAACCGAGTGATACGAAAGTGACTCAGCGGGATGTGGGAAACGTCGAAAGCATGTCTCGAACCGAACGGCACGAGCAGGGTGCGGAAGCTGTGGAACAGGCGGAAAGGCGGCTCCTTCCGGCGGTTCGATCGCCATCCCCTCGCGCAAGAATTGCGTTCAAATTGATCTGTGCATAGCATACAAGTAGTACCAGCACTACGGCACCTGTTTCTTGCGGGCGTCCACCAGTCAGATTTTCATGCTGTGGACTCGAGCGAGGCTCTCTGGGAAGAGGCAGACCCTGCGGGAAGCTGGGCGTATTCTTGGTTGATCGTGGAACACATGGCTAAAGGTACTCCTGAGAAAATACGAGGAGGGGAACTGCTTCTGTGTAGTGGACGAATGCTCTCAACTCGGCGAACTACACCGCGTGTCGGTGTAAGAAGATGCGATTCTTTTGTGGCATCTGAAAAACATTTTTAAGGAAAAATAAATACAATGAAAAGACTCCACCACATCCCGTTCGACTGTGGGTATATCTCGAATGGGTAGTCTTTCTGTGTGTGTTTTTATTATTCCTTAATTAAATACACACACGGAAAGACTACATGGACCCATTTGAAAAAATACATAAAACGTGGGCACCGTCCGTCCGTCCGTGGGGTACGTCCCCGGAATACATGGCCCATTAATTGTTCCATCAAGTGCGTCTACCTCTACCAGCGCGATGCCTGGGTGAAAGTAGCATCGAGGGCTGTCATGACGCTTAGACGGCTTGAAAGGGTTGATCGGTTCGTCGAATCCGCAAAAGAATGGTAGTGCCCAGCACGCGGGGAGGGGGCGGGGGAGCGGTGGGGGGCCGGTGGGGTAACGAAAAAACAGAGTTTAGCCGTCGTTTTGTCAGGCAATTTTTTATTTCGTCGACGTTTGAAAAAACGAACGGGATGAAACGACAACATCGGCATGGCAACAAAGCACGCCCGCACGGTCCCGTCTGTACCACTGACCTCATCGTTACGCTGTCCAGGACATCGGCGAGCGGTTGCTCTCCTAACTCGTGCAGGGCGCAGGCCTGCAGTTCGGCGTGGTAGGGAGCGAACACAGACTTCATCTCGCCTTCGTTGACCCCAATCTTCATCTTCCGTATCACGGGGATGTTGTCCGGTCTCCAGTACACCCACACGAACTTGACGAAGCCGGTTTGCACGTCCCCGGCCTGCTCCAGCGTGTAGCTGCAGCGCACTAACCCGTAACACACATCCCACTCCACGATACTTGCTTTGAGAGCCTGCCGAACAAGAGAGAGAAGAGAGAGGGAGAGGGAGAGAGAGCGACTGATAGTTGTCAATCTTCAACCAGAACAACGCACTACGTAGTCGGCAAGCAATGCGTGGAGAACAGGCGTCAAACGACCAAGAATACCTCGCAGGCGTTCGAAAGTCGTGCATGCTTGTACATAGCTACGCTTAATTAACAAGCGTGTGGAGTCCTTGCTGCTGTTGTTGGGCCACAAGATTTCCAGCAATAATGTGAAGATAACAACAACAACAACAACAACAACAACAACAACAACAACAACAACAACCGAGAAGGGCGGATGGCAAATAGCCGCCAGGGGGGAAGAACCTAATGCGCTCTTCGGCGAAGAACTGTCTCTTTGTTCCTGCTGCTTTTGAAAATCAGGCGCACCATGCATACAACAGTCACCATAACCGAAGCGATAGTCCATGCTCAAGGAAATCTAGCTCCGCGGCGAGTTCGCCACGGCAGGCCTGTGTGCGCGCTCACCTCTACGCCTCCGACACCGGTGCCGAAAAGCCGGATGTCCCCCCCTCCGTCGAATCCGCAAAGCACCCAGTCCTCCCGAGCGGTGTCGCTGCGCACGTTCGCGATGGCGGCTTGAAGGGCTTCCCCGATCACGGGCGCCTTCCTGTGAACGTGGTTTCTCGCAACGAGCATCGTGATCGGTGCGGGTTGTCCCTGCCACTTCCGTCACACTTGTGTCTGCTGCTCTGCTGCGGCTACAATCTTGGAGGCAACCGTTGTACCTCTCGTTTGCGAGCTGCGCCGAGCGTGTGGAAGACACGGAGACGCGGAGACGGCGCGTTTGTGGTGGCCGGTTCTTGGGTTTTGAAACAAACTGCACCCGGGGCTGTGTTTGGTGGTCCAGCCCGGGGTATTCGATTTCGAGGCGGTGGACACAACAGCGAGAAGCGAGTTCGACCGGATGGCGAGCGTGTAGCATATGCATATGTGAGGAGTTCCAGAACCCATTTCCTCTGTCACCACCACTGGGTTCTCCTGTGGTGGTCCGGTGGAATTGTGCCAGCGGAGACCACGGACCTGCCGCCCTGCTGTTGCTGCGTTGCTGCTGCTGGTTGGTGCATCTGTACCCAGCCTACAGCAGTCACCTGCATGGTGAGTATCTTTCGCGAGGAACCTGCTCAACCGCACAGATCTCTTTGCACCATGCGTGTGGACGTCTCGTGGCCGTGGTCTTCGTGTGCCGATGCTTTTTGCTTCCCTGCTACTGGAAAAATCCACTGCTGTGTCCACTACATGACATGAGCCAAGAAACACTCCGCCAAATGCAGCGAAATACATACATGCATAGTCTACATCGAACACCAGAGAGTAGCCCGCTCTTGAGGTTACGAACACAATGTTGATTCCACTTCACGTGTCAGATACAACACATCCAAGATCGCCAAGGCTGGAACACAAGCAGCAGCTGCCAGCGGTCTCCCCGAGGGGAGGGTGTGTGCTGCTGTCGCTTGATTGTTGTTGTTGTTGTTTGTTGTTGACACATGTTTGTTGTACTGGTGTGGTCTGGTCGGCCGCCGTTACATTCATATTCTATATTCTTCGCATTCGGGAAACAAAAGCAAGGAGGCGTTTTCGTTCTTCTCGTCGTCGAAGAGACAGAATTCCGCGCTGCAGGGAGCGCGGGTTACTGACGACACACACACACGCGGCTGGCGCCTGGTACTGCTGTGCTTTCGTCCTGTCAACCGGCGATAGCAGCAGGCAAGGCCGGACGGTGTGTGTACCCTGCATTGCAGCAGCGCTGGGGGCAGGAAGGTGGCAGAAGGGCCAATAACCGGTGCTCTTTGTCCACAACGGGGATTGTGTAGGACCGAACAGAAAAAAGCGACACATATATTATCGTTGAGAGTTCGCGGAATTGGTCTCGGAGAGTCCGTATGCAGCGGCGAAGAGAGGTTCAGCGGCATACTCGCGTGTCTTCGGCAGTCGAGAACGGCCACAGCCAGCAGCAGCAGCAGCAGCAGCAGCAGCAGAACGGAGGAAGACACAACATGTGCTTGGAGGGGGCAGCGTTTACCAACGGCGGCGGCGGTGCCAACTGCCTGCGAAAGTCGACCCGGTTGGGCGAAGCGGCGCACACTGTCAGGTTGCGACTTCGGCAAGCCGTCCATGCGGGGCGGAGGAAGAGTGTGGTGGGCATGGCCGCCTACCTCTTCGTGTGCTTGGGCCTTCTCTGGTGCGGCCTGCAGATTCCCGCGCTTGCCAAGGGCAGGGGCGGCCGCGCCGCCACGGCGGCTGTTGCTTTCGGTGAAGGCGCAGAACGGCGGCAGCTGGCGGCGACGCCGAGGGCTGGCGATGGTGGAGTGAACCGGTCGGGCGACGTTGGTCCGCGCCTTGCGTACGGGATCATGGTGTACCAGCGGAAGGGTTACTCGCCGCAGACTACGCTGGACCAGTTCGGGAGGATGCTGAAGGCGCTGTACGACGAGGAGAACACGTGAGCGAGACCATTTTTTTGGCTGGGCGAGGAAGCTGATTATGTTGTAAAATACACCTCCGTTCGTTCGTAACCATGCCATCGTTTGCGAATTACAATCAATTATCGAATTATCGCTGTATTGACGCAAGTGTGTGTGGTGTGGACCATGCGGAAATGCTTCGGAAACGGGGTCTCCCAAGCACTGCTGCTGCATGTGAACGCCTACGTTCAGCGCGGGTGAAGCTTCACCCACGCAAGTGTTTGCTTTCCCAATTACTCTCCTGTCAATCCCGCCCGCTGTTCGTATACAAGAAATAAATATTGATGTAGCTTCTGCTGAACAACAGTGGCAGTGGTATATTAGGCGGTGATACATTTTTTATGTACAACCTTCTTACTCGTTGTCTTGCTGCCTGCTGTCGAGAGAGCACATGAATATGATGGCGATGTCGGACGCGCGTGCTGCGATGGTGATGATAATGATGACGATGTGGCCTTGTACATGGGTTATACGAGCGCTCTGTTGTGTGGACGCGTCGACCCTGTGTGAAACAATACAACACAACCATGGTTCTTCGGATTAGCGCGTTTCCTTTTTCTTTTTTGTACTTCGAATTGTATATATATTGACAACCGATATCTCCCCTTGTAGTGTTTTAGAGAATTTGTAGGAAGAGGAACCCCCGCCCTTTTCCAACAAATAATACTTCCCAGGCCTGGGACGGCCCTCTCTTCCTCTCACTTCCGCGTTTGCAAATAACTGCCGTATGAGTTCACCGATTGTCTCGTCACAGCATAAGCACTACACACACAATTCCAGTCTCTGCTTATTACTTTACCTCCTATCAGTCCAACTGAGTATCGTTCGCCTTGATTACATCTTACGGCAGTGACCAGAACGGTTGTCTCGTGTGCAAAGAAAAAGAAACACCATTTTCTCGCAGAACAGCGACAGCCGCAAGTAGATTACAGCAGCAGGATCTACGGCCCCGGAGATGAGAGACGTAGGAATCGTGTCGAGCCTCAATTCCATGTTTTGGGTCGATGGAGCAGCCGAGGTCGTCGCGATTTTCTCATTATACTGATGTACCCGAGTTTATTTTATTCTTGCTTGATGATGAGAAGAATTCAACTCCCAACACATAGAATTCATGCGCGTATGTGTACGGCATTACACCGAGCGACAACACAACAAGAGAGAAATTCTGCGTACGGCATTACCCCGAAAGCTCGTTGTGGCGACCTTTGGGGGCAGTCGCCCTCGTGAACTTGCCTGAATCCTGAATCCTTCCTCCTGGTCTGATTGTTTCTATTATTTAGCAGCACCGACGCCCAAACTGCGGCGGATGAACAACCCCCCTGCTACGACAAAATAATGCACGGAAAGGAGAAGGGGGACGTCTCTTCAAACACGCTCCCCCACAGCTCTCCCCTTTTCGTTTGTCTTGTTTGCATGCTCCACACGCATACATTGGGGTATAGTCATGGTCCCGGTTTAGCGGTCCATAGTGTCACAAAATGTCAACCATTTCCGCTATTGAGGACATAGCCGCTAAACCGGATTGGCAATTTTATAGTTTGAGGCGCAGCCGTGCCACGGGACTTTGGGACCGCTTCTCAGGGCATCCCGCAACCGGAAACCGCTAAACCGGGACCACGGCTGCCTGTATCGTACGATCCTGTTCCTTGTCGGAACGCTTTCTTGCGTTGTGGTAAAGATCACGGCGTGTTCGCCGGAGACGGTACAGAGTACATAGTTCAGACACGGGACCACCGGAAGCTCGCGTAGTTTCTTATCCCATTTTTCTCGTTTTTCATGACTATGACAAGTATTCGAGCCCATATTGTTTGTGTCGTCATGAGAAAGTTCTTAACGGCGGTCCCGTTCTGCAGTACAGTAGTACAACCTGAACGGTGCTGCGCACACAACACGATGCGATTTGTCCCCAAGACACCTGATAGAGATGAAACAAATCAGTCTTTATCCACAGATGAGTTGTATTAGACCAGGATTCGCGTTTTTTGTCATTCACGAGGACGCTTTTTGAGAGTGACGTTTTGACTGGGACCGCCTCCGCGAGAAGTCAAGTTTGTATGAGGAAATAGAACAGGGAGGGGGTACGCAGACCCTATTTCCCTCACCCTAACCCTAACCCAACTTCCCCGATTGTATGCTTTATCCAACATGTTTGCTGAATACACCAAGACTGCGAAGGGTACTGCTGGGACTGGCGTTCGTGACCCTGTTTGTTTTGTGTTTTTTGGCCTTGTTCTTTGCCCCGCTTTGCCACGATCTTCTCTTGTTAACGTGGCAAACGTTTCCGACTGCTGTTCGCGCCCGCAGGTATGTCATCCACGTGGACATCAAGTCGGATAAGGCCCTCCTCGACGCGATCTCGCACCACATCAAGGACCTGCCCAACGTTTACGAGGCGAGAAGCAAGGAAGAGCCGTAGTGTGTTGTATGCATAGGTTTTCCCCGCGAGTGTACAGTATATACATGAACCTCTCAGCGCGTCATGTATACGTACGTGTGTGTGTGTGTTATTATTAGCATCGCCCCCGCTAACCGGCTGACCAATGAAAAGACGTCAGTCTCAATGCGGTTGAGAACACAAAACACTTCGAAGTGCCATTAACTGGGACCCCGTGAAGGGGCAGCATGGGGGAGGCTAAGCTATTCTCCGGATCAAAGACAGAAACGGTAACAACTGCACACGGCTACGACGGCTGCTTCCTTGCGCTCGAGTTGTGTGTGTGTGTGTGTGTGTGTCTGTGTGTGTGTGTGTGTGTGTGTGTGTTTGTGTGTTTATGTGTTCGTAGTTTTTCTTGTTAGAAAAGAAACATAGACTCACAGAAAGATTACCCGTTCGAGATATATATTACTGCTCACATTCGAACGGGATGCTGCTGAAGCCATTACAGCAGTGAGTGGAGGGAAACCGGCTGGACACTGGGCCTGTTTTAGTTTTGTTGAAGCCTTTTACGTATATTTTTTGTCTTGAGCCAGTCTACACAAACTTTTAGGGGCATGTGTGACGTGTTTAGCAGGGGTCACACAGGAGGTCCCTTTTTTTTTGTATGTCCACCTCTTGTATGTATTCATACGCGAGGAGTGTTCTGAGCGATGATATTCCACGAAGTAATGGTCGGAAAGGGCAAGGATCGCTGGACCACCTCTCCCGCGGCTAAATTGAGGGAGGGCACCGCAGAATAAATATTGATGAACGTGTGGCCCCCCGGAGCACACGCGCGAGTAATATTTCGTTAAATCTGTAGCCGCAGACATCCGAATCTTGTCACATTAATGTTAGCTATGACAACGGTTAGAGTTAGTTAGGGTTAGCAGGATAACAGACAAATCAAAAGTCAGAACGGCCGTTCGTGCATGCTGAAAACGCCACGCCTGCTGCTGCTGCTGCGGGCTTGTGTCTCGCGCGCTCAGGTGCCGTCCGTGAGCGTGAGCTGGGGGGGGATTACGGTGGTGGAGCGAACCCTGGCCTTGATGAC